TTGTTTCCAATTTTTTTCTATTGTGAACAAAGCCGCCATAAACATGGGTGTACATATATCTGCTTGGGTGGCAGTTATGGTTTCTTTGGGGTATATTCCCAGTAGTGGAATTGCTGGGTCAAATGGTATTTTTATTTGCAAAGAAAACCAAAATCCTCACCACTGGGCCAACAGCATCATGATAGATGAAGAAAAGGTTGAAATTGACAATGATTTCATCTTACTTGAATCCACAATCAACACCCTTGTCACCAGCAGTCAGAAGACCAGGAGATGTATAACAATGGGAAAGTCAGCTGCCAGGGACTTCTCTGAAGTCCTGAAGAGCAATGATGTTAATGTGAAGACTAAGGTGAACCTGATCCAAGCTGGTGCCTTTCCAATCATCTCTTATGCTTCTGAGAGCTGCACTATGAATAAGGATGACGGAAGAAGTACCGATGCCTTCCAGTTGTGATGTTGGAGAAGAGTACCAAATATCCCATGAACTGACAAAAGAATAAGCAGTCTTGGAGTAAGTACAACCAGAATGCTCATTAGAGGCAAGGATGGTGAAAGTTTGTCTGACGTACTTTGGGCAGGTTGTTAGGAGAGGCTATTCCTTAGAGAGGGACATACTGCTTGGAAAGATGGAGGGTCAGTGGAAGAGAGGGAGACCCTAAACCAGATGGATTGATATAGTGACTGCAGCAATAGGCTCAAGGGCCTCAGTGATGACAAGGACGATACAGGATAGGACAGCTGTCAAATCTGCTGTTCATAGGGTTCTATTGTTAGGATTAGAATGAAGAAAATAAGCAGAAGTTAATGCTTGGAAAATTGAGTTACCAAGAAGTCAATATTGACCTGCATAGAATGAGTGCTTTGGGCACATGAGTGATGTCCGAGCAGTGGACTCTTTAGGCACATGATTGACCTCAGAACAAGGGACCAGAGTGAGAACCACCCACTAAACTTTGAACTCTCTGTAACATTGTCTCATTGGCCCAGCCTCCAGCTTACGGCCTACCCAGAGGAAGAAGCCATAAATATGACCTCACTTCTCTAGGACACTGCCTCGCCTTCAAATTTCCATTCGGGGAGGGAGGTCTGTGCATTTGGGATGTAACTTTCTAATAAATTTGTCTTTACTTTTTACCTTCTGCTGCCTCATTTTTTTTCTTCTTATCCCTGTGTTCTGAAGAAAGTTTTGGCCTTTGTAGCTAGACTTCAATTCAAGCCTTTTGTTCATAGGGTCACTATGAGTCAAGCTCGGCTCGAAGGAAATCAATCAACAACAATATTAAAGCTGGGTCTCCCAAGAAACCCTAAAATTACTGTACACTGTGCTACCTTGATACTTGGACACTGTCCCCCGCCTCTCCCCGCAAATCTGTTCTGCCTGACACAATTCTTTTTCATGTGCGAGAAGGGTGAACTATGGCACTGACTGCACAGTAACATCTATGAGTCATCCATGACTCCACAGCACCTAACAAAAACAGAGAGCAGAAGGCAGGAAGGGGTGGATAGAAGGATTTGTGAAAATAAGAATCACAGAGAAGAAACAGGAAGCGTGATCACTTTCAAATATAATTCATTCTTTCATTAACACATACAACTGTGTATGAATGGTTAAACTGAAAGCCAATTTTCTCTGTAACTTTTCACTCAAAACAAAATATCCCCTGACTGATAGGGAAAAAATGTGAAAGTGAAGTGATAATTAAAGAAAATGTAGTTTCAAGGTTTTCTAGTACCAAAATGACACCATTTTCAAAAGTCCCTCAACTAATAGGCAGATATTATTTTCAATGTAATTTAGAAATTTAAATTTAAGAATAAATGAGATTTCAGTAGGAGTAAATACACTTACCATTGTTATGTGCTGTGGAGTCAGAACACGACTCATATATGCACAATAGCTCTG